CACGAAGTCTTTTTAGTAGTTCAATGTAATAGTGTTAGTTAACAGTCTGACCATTGGGAAACCACTCAATCATTACAATTCCATTAATGTCGAATTTTGATTTTGACATGCGTGCTTTTTTGGGTTTTGGGGATCCTGGAGACTTCCACTCCATTGACTGGCGCTTACATTCTGGGTCATAGGTAAAAATCGATGTCTCATCACATATTACAAAAGAGTTCAACAAATTTTACAAGAAACTTGATGTTTATTCGCTGTTCGGTTTTTACGTTAGACATTTTTCCGGCAGAATGCAGTTGCACGTGTTCACTGAATAACGCAATACTTCCAAATGATATGACCGATTCAATCGAAATTTGCAACATGGATAGAGAAGGTATGTGGGATGATGCCACAAAAGCAATTGCTGCCAATTTCATTGATTTTTCAAGTTACAGACCTAATCTCGTTACTTTTGTGTTACACCTCGTATTCGTTAGGAAATTATCGCAGCTAACAGTTCTCCGAATTATTTCGGTCACTCGACAAATGTTCTGAAGTATTTACCTTTTGTTCCATTATAATGTTTGTGAACATGAATCAATAACTATTTACTACCAGTGTGTGATTGTTTGGCGACCCAGTGTTTCGAAATTATGTCATTTACGAATAGTAAAGCAGTTGGTATGTTCATTTCGTTCAACAAATGCAATCAAAATGGTACAGAGGCTGTAAGGCTGTATCGAGAAACATATCCCAATCGGCAACAGCCGTCGCGTTTGTATTTTTACGAACTGGAGTCCAATTTACGTCAGTATGGCTCCTCCCCAAACCAAAACGAAACGTGCCGAAACCAATCGTTGAAAATAAACATAATGTAGAAACAATACTGACAAACGTCGAATTAAATCTTCGAATTTCCAGATCCTCAGTTCAACGTATTTTGAAACCACATAACTTTTATTTCTATCGATTTTCCATTGGGCAAAACATTACGGCCTGAGGACCTCTCTGAAGCTGGCAGAACCAAATTGGTAGAATCACATCGGATCTAGTGGAATATTTGGTACTTACTTTGTACTAATTTGTGATACAAAAAGTAATTTTGTACTTCGTACCGTTTTAAAAACAATTACAGTGCTTCTTTTTGAGCTAGCAGTCAAACATCAAAATTGATAAAAATGAAAAGAAACAAAGCGGATATATATAGTACCCGATTTGTACTAATTTGTAGTACTTAAATTAATTCTTTTTTTAATTAGAGGAAAAATATTAGACATTCCATTTAAAAAACTGCAGGTGACTAACTTCTCGTTCACAGTTCTACGGACATGTATGTATATATTTCTCATTGCGCACTTTATTAAAAATAACATTGTTAACATTTTTCTGATTGCACATGATAAATATATATAAGTTGTTTATTGCTATTTTATATTATGGATCTTCCGCGATATCATTAACACCGTTTTTTATAATATACTTGAATATTGTTTCCTTTATTCTTTGTTCTTTACGGATCAGTGGATTAACTCTGATTAAATACTGAAGATCAAAGAACGAACTACGTCGGTTAACAAAAGGTTGTTGTCCTTTTTAATTTACTACAATAATTTTTTTAGTTTTTTCAACGTCCATAAAAGAAGAATTAAATTTTGTATATAGTTTTGTATATTGAATATATAATTTTGTATATAGTTTTTAAAATATAATTTATAACAAACATCCTTCTTTCAGGGAATATTTTTTCTTTCACATATACAGTGACACATGAAAGTATTCGAAGACTTATATATGCAAACTTGAACGACTGAAATAATGCGCATTAAAGTAATTTGTTTAGAGAAGTAGGCGTTACTAGGAAGTTGGAAGTCTTAAGATTAAGGCAATAAAATTTGGAAAGGATTCAATAACGTAGGTAGAAGTTATAATACATTTATTCGAACGACGCATTGTAAGTGACTCACAAACGTATTTGAACGCTACATATATTATTAAATTATTTAATATTAATATTTTGTTGGACCACATTTAACAGCAATAATGTGTTTGAATCGGCTCATACATTTTCAATGGGATTTATGTCTGGACTTTGCGGTGGAGTAATTAATATGCATGGTGTGTTATACGATCCATTCTTTTACAATTCTAGCAGTATGCTTAGAATCATTATCTTGTTTGAAATGGAAATCTAATAATGTTAATTGACGGGCTTTCTTTAAGATTATTTTCTAAAATGTCTAAGTACTTATATTTATCAAATATTCCATCAATAAATATCAGATTTCCTGTACGATGCTAAGTCATATTTAGCAGCCACACAAGTCCACTGTTTGATGTGAATGTCGAATCTCCAATTCCGTATTTGGTTTTCTCCGTACATAACATAATTCCGACCATTTGTGTCAAAAATACTAAACTTTGACTCGTCTAAAAAAATAACTCTATCGCAAAAAAAATTATCTTTACTAATATAGGTTTTTGTAAAAGTCAGTCTTTTTTTACAATTTACCGCATTAATATATGACTTCTTTCACGTGTTACGTTCCGAACAGGAATCTTTTTCAAAATTTCCTTTGTAGTTTTGACCGACCGGATGTGTATCGATAATGCGTATTGCATTCTGGGAACACCCTGATCGAACGCACTAACGATCTTTCAATGTTTATTGGATAGACTATCTTTTGGCGACTAAACTATGATTGTTAATATAACACATTCCTTCCTTGAAATCAACGTGGTCCCACGGCTAAAATCTTAGATCATTTCATTTCTCCGAACCACCGAATATAAACGGAAGTCACACTCGTGTGGTCCGATAACGCCAAGCGTTCTGGAATGTTCTTCAAGGGCCCGCGACGCAATATAGAATTGTAATAGAAATTGTCTTTGTAACATTACTATATTATATAAATTGCCCATAGTATTTCATTATACCGTTATTATAAATACGCATACGTCAATCAGTCCTACAATAGTTACAGTACCGAGCGCAATTTAACTTTAATAATTGTAAGATCATTTCACTTCTCCGAACCGCCGAATATAAACGGAAGTCACACTCGTGTGGTCCGATAACGCCAAGCGTTCTGGAATGTTCCTCGAGGGCCCACGACGCAATATAAAATTGTAATAGAAATAGTCTTTGCAACACTACAAAATTATATAAATTACCCATAGTATTTCTTTATACCGTTATTATTAATACGCACACGTCAATCAGTTCCACAATAGTTACAGTACCGAGCGCGATTTAACTTTAATAATTGTAAAACGAAATAGATAATGTTTTATTCTAAATTTTTATAATGTGTACAGATTAACTTTTTATATTGTATTGGTTATGCATGTAAAATTATTCAATAGCTAATTAACAATCCATAGTTCAAGAGTAAAGGAAAGAACTATATAGAAAGGGAGAGAAAGATAAGAGCTGGACAAGGGAGGAACATATGCACCCACCATCACCACCTAACTAACGAATCACGGTCTCTTACGCATTGGCCTCGCAGCCTAATTCGTTAGGCGCATATCAATGCAACATAAACAATTTCGGACTAGGCCCACTCTGGTCTTCTCCGAGGGGTGCAAGTTGCGACACTCTTCTCTCTGAGAGGTGCAAGTTGCGACACTCTTCGGTGTATAATCGCGAGGTGCGTGTCGAGGGTCCGTGAAGTGGTTTAGAGACGAGTTTGTTCTTGAATTCTACGAATTGCGCGTCTCGGATATTTACAATATTTTTGTTCAATTCATTGTAATTCACATTATATCATATACGCTACCATTCTAATCGCTTCATATTTTATAAAATATAATCTTTGAATATTTTAATTAGTTGAATTACATTTCTTTAATTGCCTCCGTCATATCCTCTAATCATTGCAATCTTGTGAAAGGGCCCGTATGGGACTAGCGTATCTCCGGATCCACAAAACATTAAGTCCCGTTAACAATTAATATTGTTAGGGCAAACAAATCTTCGAGGCTTTATACGCGCGCTTCCCGCACGTAACACACGGTACTCTGCTATAAAAATCATTGTTTCGTAAGATTCCTCGCCATAATTTGGGGTGTACTTCTTTATAAAACATATTAGCTACCATATGTGCGAGTTGAGAAGCGGATATAGTAGGATTTTTTTTTAATTCGCGAATGGTAACTTCCTCCTATCTTCCAGTCAATTTCCTTGGTTAACCTAATCGAGCTTTGTTCGCTAGTGTTCTCTTATTTTTTGACTTTCTTATGATGTAATGTATAGTGGACTTACTTCTGCTCACAATTCCGGCAATTTCGTTATTTAATTTTTCATCCTCATGTAATCGAAGTATTCTCTTTCACACTTTTTTTCGGACTATTTGGTATTCATTTTAAATACTATTGTGCCCACTTTTACGTTAATGTTACTGAAACGTTGTCCTAACATCAAGTGAACGTATCATTGTTTTCATTTATTGTTTTATTGTTTTCATTTCATTTATCATAGCAATGATATTTACATACAATGCAAAGGAAGATGAAAAACTATGAACAGTGTTCACAAAAGTGTTCAAATACTTTTGTGAAACATTTGTCGTAAATGTTTCTAATAAATGTATCATAATTTCTTATATTATTGAATCGTTTTCAAATTTTACTGATATAATCTTCATCTGATATTGATTATTCTCTACCTATATAGCGACTTTCCTGTCACTGTAGATACCAAATAGTTTCAACAAATTAGTTTAGTACACCTCGTTTTATTAATTGAAATTTTTAACTGTAAGCGTTTGAATACTTTCGTGAGCCCACTTATTTGAACTTATTTTAAATAAGCCCACTTATTTTTACTTATTTGGAAAAGAAAGATAACAGTACAATTCACAACTGAATCATAAAACTTTGTTGAGCATTGAAATACAATATAATATTAATCCTTACACGTCGAGTACCAGAATTTTTAGGAAGGTTAAAATAAATAAAAACACAATTTTAAATGAACCTATGTGTATTTCCCTTTTTTAAATAATTTTTAATACGACAGGATACCAGCAGGATATTTTCTTAAATGGTAAAATTATTTGTGCGTGTACAGACTAGTACAAAATAAGTACTAAATGTTTCACTAGATTGCATAATTTTTCTGTAAAAGAACTGATATAAAGATGTAGGTTTTTTTCATAAAGTGATCGTTATAAAGATGACACTGCTAGCGGCCATACCAACGATAATCTACTTATTTACGAAAACGCTTTGCGACTTGCCAAATTTTGTTGATTAGTCGTATTTTGCGCTTCTTAAGAGAACAATCGCGGAAAGCAGTGTCACCCGGAATTTTTATTTTCTCTTGTGTGTGTTTTAAAATAAATTGTTAATTTTCCGTTTAATATATTTTTGTTTTTCCCTCTTCGCCCTCATATCATACAATATCCTTTATGATTTTGCTGGTTTGGTCTTTCGAGCTTCAGAGACCTACCTAAACCTGGCACCCGACTTTAAAAAATTTAATTTCTTTAAATTATATGGTATTCGCATTCGTTTGTACCCGTTTGTAAAAACCCTTCTTTTCGTTTCTACCCTAAGAGGCGAAAAGTTACTAGAGGATAAAAATACCCCAGCACCTTACTTTAACATTTTTTATTTTTTTCAACGCCATCATAAGAAGAGACGTTTGTACCCGTTTGTACTACCCTCACTTCTCGAGAAATGGACGTAGTTGCTAGGAGACATCGCAACGGGATGTACAATATAAAATGAAGGAGGGCCTCGAAGCCCTCACTTCGTTTTTACGATTTTTAGAGAACATATCGTCTGCACATTTTTCGAGATTATTTTGTTACTTGGTTACTTCAGTTTTTTCGTTTGTTGGAAGCAATTAATTTTGTCACATGAATTTCGATTCATATACATTTCGGAATGTTTCCTATCAAGAAGCAGAAAGGAGGCAAAATTACTGCTGAGGTCATCAGTAAAATGCTCGCAGACGCCAAGAAAAAGATTAGCGTGCAGATGAGAAATAAGGCGGAAGCGCGGAAAGAGCAAGGGGCGGCTAAAGCAGCGAATTCTGCGACAAGCATTCAGGGAAAAGGAGGAGAGGGAAACGGGAAGGTAGGAACAGCGACGACGGGAGAAAAAAGGCTACGATACGAAGGGAAAAATAAGGAAGACAGCATGCTGGTGGAAGCCATTGAAAGCGTGGAGGAGGTGGTCTCCTGCGGAAGCGATGGCGATAACAACGACTGGAGGTACCAGAATAACGAAGTATTTTTCCGCATTTCTTCTTAAAATGTCCGTACCTTTCCTTATTAAACGACGAATTTTTCAGTGTTTTTGCTTAGTTCTTGGAGGAGAGAGAGGGGTGCGACGGAAGGGAGGGATGGGTGAGGATAAGATTAGATTAATTCCGCTCGGTCAGGTGAGCGATGCAGTGGAGGGATCGTTGTCTTTGACAACATGTTCAAGGCCAAGTTGGCGTTGGGGTAGGCAGGGCTTAAAGTAAAGTCAATAGTATTCAAATTAGACTATCGACAAACAAACTGCTCCCTTTCTGTGCCCTCTGATAAAGACGATAGTCGAGCATCCCCTTCCGACGCAAAGTGCGAATCTGGACCGAGTACGAAGATGTACGAATCCACCTTCGCGATCCGACAACAACGATGACCTTGCCGGATTGTCCTCATGCTGAATAGGCTTCCGGCAGGTTGCTGCCACATCTTCCCTTCACGGGGAGGGTGTAAGTAAGAGAGAGTTTTAGTGGGTACTACGTATTTCACAGGCACCAGTGTGTCGCTGAGTACGGCAAATCTCACACTACCTGGGCTATCTTCCCAGATGTCTGTAAATAGATTTTTCTCTACCAGAAACAAAAAAAAAAATTTGTCACAAACGAGAAATATTGTATATTCAGTCTAACAATTTACATTCCGCCTTAATTCGCCTTTCTGAGGGGTCGGAAGAGTTTCAAAAAAAGCATGCAAAAATCTGAAATTATATCCGGATGTGTTCAAATATCTAAAGTCTCAAACATTTCTCAAATTTGAGAATGTATATGAGACGATTGCTATACCTACATCAAAAATCTTTAATAAAAGAAAGAGAATCTCAGAAATTTATAAATCTAGAAAATTTGGAAATACAGAGATTTATAAACTTAAAAATTTAGACATTTAAAAATTTATAAATATAGAAATTGAGAAATTAAAAAAACTAGAAGTTTGGAAATTTGGAGGTTTAGAAATTTGTAAACTTAATTTGTAAGCTTCAAAAGTTTAAAAATTTAGGAATTGTAAACTGACAGTTTGAAAATTTGAACTTCAAAGTTTTTAAACTCACATATCTGTCTTTATCCAAAAAACCTATATTGCACCTAAGTACACAAACTTAATTTCTTTAAATTTCATTAGGAAATCACGAATTGCACGTTCATGTTGGCAAATATGTGAACTACAAACATCGCAAGCTTTTCTAATCGCATTTCTTATCGAACCTAAATTTTCATGTCATGTTTCTATTATCTTAATGCGTCCTTGTATTCTATACTGCATGATTCGAATTATAATAGTCTGTACATCACGGTTCTCAAACACCGTTAGCAAAAACAATTAACATTCGAAGGATATAACAAAAATATTGTGAAGATAATATTAGAAAATTTTTATGTACACAGTGATTTCGAAAAGATGGTATGATTAAGAAGAAAATGAATTTACATGAAAAATAAGTAAAAAATATAAAATAAAATTTTTCTTATGCAGCTTTATTTTCGAGAAAATTGAATTTAAACATTTTTCTAATATTCATAAAAATGTTTGTTTACAACGTAGAAGAAGACAAAATTAATTCGTTTGTTAATATTACAGTCAGCAAATGTAAATCAGTAAATATAATCATTAATATCCCTAAAATGTATTTATCTTCATTACTTATAATACATATTTGTTGGAGTTTTGAATTTACGCGCTTTTAAAACTCTTAAATGAAGAAATTCGCGGTCCTTCGTTTTCTGTTTTTGGTTGCCGTGCAGCGTTTGTGTGTTTGGAGAATCGTTGGTGACTTCACGTTTTACGATGCCCGGCGTCTTCTTGTAATAATATATTTTGCGTGTTTTAATAAAAATAACTGTGTTCACTATTAAAAATCCATCAATATTGTTACTTATATGTATTTTTATCATGAACTAAGTTCACCATATTGTATATTAGTATTTACATACATCAATAATGTTATGAAATATTGTGAATAATTAATAGTATTAGCATTAATAACTAGATTTACTTATTTAATAACGTATATTAATCTTTAAAATTAATGGAAAAGTTATTACATTTGTTGCAAATTCAGTTATGAATTATTAAAAATGCTGTATACGAACAAATTTTATTCTAATATTTGCGACATATTTATTCACGCCGGTTTACCCTCTTTTCAATTGTGCCACCATTTCAAAAACGCCACGTATAAGTATAGTGATTCTTCCTACAGTGCAACGGAGGACGGAATCGAAAATACTCACTGTGGGAATAGTGGACACGAAAATTGAAACCCGGCGACTATCCTTTGTTTGCCACAGCTCGCCTTTGTCGGCGGCGGCAAAGAAAGTCGACGCTGGCTCCCAAATCTTAAGTGAAATAAAAGACGACGGAACATTTAAACGTCTGATGAGATTCCAACAGTGTTTCCAAGAGCAATATGGGAATTGAATCTGCGGGACACGATGCAAAGTGAGAATTCAGTATGTATTTTCGGGCTAATCCGAGGGGAATGCGTTGCAAAGTGAGAATTCGATATGTGTTTTCGGGCCGATCAGAGGAGGGATCTGCGCTCCTCATTGCAAAGTGAGAATTCGGACACGGTTCTCGAGCCAATTTGTTGGAGTAATCCATTTTTTAATGAATATTAAATATTGTCCAAATTATATCGTGTTTGGTCTCATTTTAATCGTAAAAACCTCACGAATATGTTAAAAAAGTTTGCAGTAAAAAAAAGTAAAAATTAAAAAAGTATACTGTTGTATTAAGAGCTAAAAATCTGTTAGCTCGTATCAAAAGAACCGCGGTGAGTTTCGTGATATATGTACTTGGACTGACTCGAGCGAGGGTAACATAGGCGCAGATACGACGCACGCATAGGTACAGGAAGAGACATTTTGCACTGTGGGAAGGAAACAAGTGTTGCACTGTGGGAGGATTTACTATAACTTGGTGGAGGATAAAAATTCTTTGAACAATTTTGATATAATAAATATTTTATTTAACCAATAAACTCTAATGCTTATAGTATTCGACATTTACAGTTAAAAAAAACGATCAACGTTGTAAATTGTGTTTAAACATTTAGCTACATTGCAAATTAATTTCTATTTTCACAATAATTAGCAGTATAATAATTATTTAGCTTGATTTTTAAAGAGACCAATAACCATTAACAATAACCATAAACAAATAAATGTATTAATTGCTTTTTAATGTATTTTTTAATCGGTTTTTATACCTAATAAAAGACAGTACAAAATAATATGCATACATCAAATGCGGTATTAAATTAGTACACAGCACTCTTATAGTATAATTCTTGAAAAAACAATACTATACTAAAAAACTTGATACTCATTTTAAACGCGTTACCCCCCATTCGGGTACAAAATTTCATCTAATCGCCGGGTTAAAAAAATACTTTTAATGTACACATACATGTGTGTTTACGTAAGCGTATTGTATAAGTCTTTTTCTAATTGAATCTTTTATATCATCACTATTTGTTCGATCGACTACATACCACATAACAACATTTCAATGTCACGGTAGTTCTGAGTGAACTTAAAAAGAACACATACCTTTGTTCGAATGTCACGTATTTAAAAAAATAAAATTTTATAGACTAAAGTAAAATTGATAACTTTTTACTGATTCATATTTTACATTACGTAATAGACGTTTTTAATTGCAAGTGAGGTTTTAGAATAGTATTGTAGTATGATTTGAAGTGTAAAAGAGGAAGTAGTAATTAACACGAGATACATCGACAGAAGCAAATATGCAATAAATCTTATTCGAAGAAAAAGCGTGAAATAAAATAATTTTTAGAAAAAACATACGCCGACTTCGAAATGCACTAAAAAGTATAAAATAATTTCTATTTCCTAATGAAGTAATTTCTATTTCATTCAATCATACAATTACGTAACAGATATGAATGAAACCTATTTACTCGTTAGGTATTATATTAAATACATTTCAACCTTTTCGGAGGCGGCGCAAAATTAAA